TTCCTTTCCCTTCCTTTCCCTTCCTTTCCTTTCCCTTCCTTTCCCTTCCTTTCCTTTCCTTTCCTTTCCTTTCCTTTCCTTTCCTTTCCTTTCCTTTCCTTTCCTTTCCTTTCCTTTCCTTTCCTTTCCTTTCCTTTCCTTTCCTTTCCTTTCCTTTCCTTTTTTTTTGCTTTGTCTTGCTTCTCCTGTACACTGCATTTCCCAATACTCACTTTGTGTTACTTGGAGAAAGAAACTAGTAATTTTTGATACCCTTCCTGCCCATAAGTTAATATTGACAGAAATTTAAATTATAGCATGCACTGAGAATATATTGCCATTTAACTGACAATCCTGTGTTGTATTGTAAGTGCATGCACGCAGGAGCAGGATACTCCTCTGGCTCTGAGGTTATATTTTACCTACATAGTAGCTCACTCAAGACTCTAAGGAAGCTCTTCGTGTTCTTCTGTAAATGTACTGAAGATACAGTCAGCCTCATCTGTATTTGGTTGATTTATGAGAAACAAAAGAGTAAATATGAAGTGTCCCATCTCTGTTGTGGGTCCAGTGTGCAGGACTCATCAAACTCCATCAATGGAGCCGTGTCAGTGAAATTCCAGCTGTGTCTTTGCGACACATTGCAACGTGAATGACTGCCTGAAAGCAGGCATTTTACGTGGCATATGTCCCTGGAAAAGACTATATCGTTTGGAAATAAGCTGTGGGAGAAGTTGGTGCTGCTGTTACCCATGGCACATGAATAGAGACAGTCACAGAGCTGAAGGTCAGGAACCTGCCAAGGATCCCAGTGCTATGCTGCTTGGGTGAAAACAAAGACAACATAAGGATCTTGGTGTCCAAGGACACCACGACGGACAGCACTGAATGTCTTTTGTAATGGACAGCTTTTGGGGAGGTTTTAACTTAAAATGTATCCATCTGCTAAAATAATAAATGTCTTCAGTTCAGCATGAAGAAAGAACTTTTGAGAAAGGTAGGACACATTTGCCCAGGTTGGCCAGTCCAGCTCCATTAACACTATTCCTTTTGCAAGAAAATATATTGGTTGAACTATGAAGAGCTTAGCATAAACATGGGCTACAGGTTCTGATTTATCTCACAGGTAAACCTACAGGATTCTTTAACTTCCTGGCTTCCAATTTGGCACTAGGGTGATGACACCCAGGAAGTCTAATGAAGTGTTTAAGAAAAGCAGCCCTTGATCAACAGTCTAATGTTTGCTCTACAGAGAATGTGAACATCCATTGGAAAACATTTGGGTTCTGTAAGTTGCATGGGGTTCAAAGAGCTGTTCTGACAGTGTTCTGGGATATTGTAGTATCATGCCAATGCTTAACTGCGATACTACATTTTTGTTGTACTGTTGAACTGCTCTGTTCTGGGGAAATGATACTACCTGATTCATTGTTATTGCAGCTTACCCATATGTAGATTCTCCATGCAAGATCCTGGTCAAATAAGTTTGTCTTTGCAGTTTGGATGAAGTTAAATTGGATCTGTGTGCAATAGCACTTTGAGATTTTAATTCTACAGCTAAGTTTGCTGTAACTTACCTTTCTTTTTATTTTTCAGGTTGTTACTTTGTGGTATAGAGCTCCTGAAGTTTTGCTTCAGTCCAGCTATGCAACACCAGTTGATCTTTGGAGTGTTGGTTGCATATTTGCAGAAATGTTCCGTCGAAAGTAAGAAATGCTACTTTACTTTCTTCTTTTTTTTTTTTTTTTTTTCTTTTTTTTTTAATTTGAAATATAAAAGAATATGCAGTGATTTCTGGCACAATATCTTGGATCATGTTAATGTTGGAAAGGACTGATAGGACTGATAGGATGCTTCATTTACAGCACAGGACGTAATCATCCGTTGCAAATTCATACCTTTAACAATTTTGGAGTCTTTCAGTAGGAGTCTCCCTGAGCTCTTGGTAAAGTGTATACAAGCATTGTATTTCTGTTACACCTGAATCCAAATGCAGATAAATACGATCTAGAGGGGCTATTGATTATTTTGAGTAAAGCTGCATTCTAGAAAGGGCCCAGCATTCACCAGAGTCTTCTTGCTTGCTCATAGTCCTCTATTGGCATATCTGAGATTTTGGAAGTCATTGTAAAGTTGATTTCTGGAAACAGAGGTAGGAATTTGAAGAATAAGTTATTTTGCCAGGGTGCAGGGGAATGGAGACAGTTAAATGCAGGTTAAAAAGAAAAAAAAGATTAAAGATCAGCTGATTCAATTAGAGTAACAATCAGAACTATTTTGCTGTGGAATATTGTAGCTAGATGGAGTTGATTTGTGAATGCAAGAGAAGTATGTGTGCTGTTCATCCTATGGTAGTACACTGAGATTGAGACTGTAGGGTGCGGAGAGGAACAACCCCTCAAGAACCTTAGCAAGATAGACCTGTCTCAATATTAACCCAAACGCATGCGTTTCCATTGAGTTTATTGCAAAAATTCTGCATGATCTCCATGGAGAAACTGTATGTGTAATTTTGATACACCTATACTGTTAAATCAAAGAACATAAAGAATATAAAGAAAACAGGAAAGAAAATGATAACACTGAGAGGCATAAAAAACAGAATCAATACAATTTAAAAGACGAAGCCATACTACAAGGGCCTTGAGAAAACAGCTATTTAAAAACAGCAAATTGGGATGAATTTATAGTGTGAAGTTCAAAATACAAGTTGGAGTCTTGCAAAAGAACTTTGAGATTCCACTATTTATTAATATTAGTATATGGAAAAATCATTTTTCTTGGGCTTCTTGCCTGGTCAAATGGCCTGGGTAGAATTAGTACACTCCACCCTCTCTGTGTCTGACTCAGAAATGAAGTCAGAAGATGAGAGAAAAGAAGAATGTGGATTTTAGGGGGATCAGTTAAGCCCTTCATTGCTTTAAACTTTGAAAAGTTTAGTCTTATCTCATATACTGCCAGGTTCATGATGGTATTAAGCTGTTGATACTTTTTTCTGATAATAGCAGCAGAGTCAACAGCTCTGTTTTTAGCATTGGTGATAGAAGTGATACAGGACAAAACAAATGAACACAGAGCTTTATTACTTTCTCAAAGCTCTCATTTTTTCTCATTTAATTTGTGGTATTCTGGCAGATGAAAAATATTGCCATATGCAAGCACCACCAATTTAATTTCATTTTTGCGATGTATGACTCCCAGAGCCTCACTGACTCCAAATCCCAAAGTACAACACAGTAAATTTAGTTAAGGACAGTTAAATTTTCTGTTGGTTTATAAATGTAAATATTATATTAATATTAAAAATCGGAGATTTTTTTAAAGGGAAATGTGATCTTACTTCAAGTGCAGTTTGATAAAACCAGAACTTCTATTATTCCTGCCAAATGCAGGGTCAGTCTGACATTTCTAGTCCTAAATTTGGGAGTCTGTCAAAAACTGTAGAAGTCAGGCATCTGCCAAGTCTGTATGTACTATGTTGTTTCACTGGAAACAGTATGACTTTCACATCCTTCAGTATACAAGTGTGATTTGGAATACCTAAAACCTCATTGCCATAAAGCTATAATGACCAGCACTGAGTGTTGTATTGGCTTAATGTTGCAATACTCCCTCTATATCATATATATTGTCTTTCTGATTTTCTTCATGGATTGCAAAAGAAAAGCCCGTGTTACTGTGACCTTAGTAGCAATAAACTGAAATTTTGCAAACTTCATGGATTGTTTCCAAAATATTAAATAAATGGAACAGCTAATTTTGAAAAATGGTAGTGCCCTTGGGTAATCACCCATCTGCATTTCCACTAGTGCTCATACAACAAGGTATGACAGTGTAGCTAAAGCTTAGAATACATGTTGGTTTGATGTTAAGACAACTTTTTATTGTTTTACTGTGTTCTTGTTTCCTTCTTTCCCTACTCTATTGTCCTTCCTCTTTGAAAGATTTTAAAGCTTTTTTAAGAAATATACTGAGACTCTTCTGGGTCTTTTGCTATTACAGAGATTTAACTTTTTTGGAAATAAAACACTATAACAAATAAAGCATCACAAAATATATCAGAATTCTGTTCATGCCAAGCAAACATTCAAAAGTGCAGACACTTTTTAACTACAATTTACCAGAATACAGTTGTGTAGGTAGTTGCAGGCACAGTCGGGGTTCTGTAGGCTTGGACAGGTATGGGAGGGAGGCGAGCTCTGTATGACTGGTCCAGCGTTGCCATATTAGAGGCAAACATGTCTCTAAGTGGAAAACACTTTATTTAATTTTAACCACTCTTAATTCAAACCAGTATAGGACAAATGCAAAAAAGATATCTTAAAAAAAAAAAAAAAAAAAAAAGATACAAAACACATAAAGGCAGTTATTGGAGTTCATACACACGAATAAGTAAATGTATGTCTAACACAGAGAATAAATTTGAACATATTGGCTGATTCAGTTGGCCAAATGGCACTTCTCAGCTGAGGCCTAAAGTCCTGAAATCTGAGATTTCAATAACATCATAGCTATACTTAAAACCTACACATTTTCACAGTACAGATTTGTAGGTTTTTGTGCTTCAGTGTGTACCTGCTAGCATCTCAGCCCATCAGGGTTTGTGGGCACGAAAATTTGGCATATATGAATGAAGACTGTATCCTGAAGCCCAGCTGCTGAAGAGAGCAGTCCCAGATGAAGCAATACTTTCAGATTTCCTTATAGGATAGTCTCAGGTTTTTTAATCTCATGTCTAGTCAAGTAAATTGCCATATTTGGGTGGACTGTCCTTAGCTGAAAAACATGTAAATGTATTTATCACAGTGGCTTCTTTCTTGATTTAAAAGCTGAGGTCCATTGATAATAATGACCAATAAAGAAAATTGTGCAGTGTGCTTTTGGTTGCTTTTGGTATCACAGAATCTTTCACAGATAAAGCTGGAAAGTTTGATGGGCCTAATGGCATTGGGTGTTCTTTGGCATAGTGGGAAGATAGACTGACAGTCTGCATGTCTTGTCTCGGCCCAGAGAATATTGAGCTATTTGCATTAATCTTGTTTCTGCAAAGCATGACCAAGTAATATATTTAGGTAAAAAAAACAAAGATTAATAGGGATAATTAATAGGATTAATGCTCCCAATAGGGAGCATTTTCCTTGCCAGTAGGAAAGGATCTTGTACCTCCTACTCCATGAACAATTCATTAAGGAGTAAGGCAAGTTTGGGAGTAGGTCCTCGCTTCTGTCTGGATACGTGAAACTCTTCCAGCTGGCTGAAGGACTGAGTGCGGCTCCAAAGTGGAAGCCATGGCCAGTGGTTTAGGGGAGGGAAGGGCTGTCTCTCTTCTTGCTTGGGTTAGGTAGTACTTAATCAAGGTAAATGAGTGTGAGAGGAGAAGGGAAGAAGACTGAAATCTGAATCTGGGTGAAACAATCTATAAGAGAAAGCAACTGTTGCTGGTCTTGGACTCTCTTCTGAGCAGGTAGTCTTGAGAAAAACTGTTTCATCTCTTAGTTCTTAGTTATTTGTATGGACCTAGTCTTCAAAATGACAGTTCTATATTATTTCAGTCCCGCGTAGACTAGTATGTTAGTAGGTATGAATGCAGGATAAATGAGCCAGATATCTGTATAACAATTCCAGTTAGAGTATGTAACTACAAACAAACAAATTTGCCTTTATTTGTAGTAAATGTGGAACTAAAAATCATCAGAAGAACCCATTAGGTTTCTGTAGCCTGTGTTATGTTCTTCATAGTCAAGCTGAAGAAGTCATGCATCTGAGAGCAGTGTTCTGAATGCACGTGCAGTCTTCGGTAATATTACAGGTATCTATTCAAACTCAAACCTTAAATGACGCTCTGTTCCCAGAAAATGTTTCCACCTCTCCAAACCAAAAACTGAAACAGTATTACCTCTAGTTTTATCCAGCCATGAGGGAGATTAATTCCATTCACGTGGACGTCTTACTGAGACCATTCATGCACCAGCTCCAGGGTGTTTTAGTCAGCCTACTGTTGGTACGATCATCAGGCCCAGAATTTCTTAAGCCACAATATTGGTGCAAATAGTAATGAGGTTATTATTTATTCAGTTTTGAATATTAAATCATGCTCTTAGCAGTTGTCTCTTTTTTCAGCTTACTTCACCAGCACCTAATAAATGTGGGACAGTCATTGCATTGCCAACCATATTTGAAGATTGTGTCAGTTGATAAGAGATATGTAACTCTACAGAAACACCTATGATGGGACAAGTTCCCTGGTGGGCCCAAGGAAACAGACAAAGAGAAATAAGCAATAAGTGTATAAGTCAACTTTCAATAGTATGAATGTGTCCAATTAGAGGAACTGCATCATTGTGTGCAGAAAAGCCATGAGCCCATGGGCAATGAGAGCCTTGTTGCTTATGACAGTGTGTAGAGATATGACACAGTCAAACCCTAGAGCCTATCTTCTCATGCTTTGATCATCATGGTGATCATGCTATGATATTGAGTTCCCTATAATTATAAGCAAAACGTGTAACTGTTTTTTAAAAACTAGCCTTGCACTCATATTCATTCTTAGATACAATAGTTGTAACAAAATCTTTCAAACAAAATCTAATAATAGATCTTTATTCACTTTTCCAGGCAAGTTATAGGTTATTCATAGAACTTCAAAAGCAGTTGTCAGATCCACTGCACGCTTTTTTTTTTCAGTGTTGAATCTGGAAGCAAATGA